TGCATTTTAGTATTTTCTAGAAAAAACGTTGATTACTTCAACATTTTGAATTTTTCACTTTCTGTGCTTTTTCCTTGCTCAAGTCCCTCAATTCCTGTTTCAAGCATTTTCCCGCGATATCTCCGAAGAACACGCTCGAGTGGTTCCAAATCTAATAGTACAAGCACGACCAATGCTTGAAACAGGAATTGAGGGACTTGAGCAAGGAAAAAGCACAGAAAGTGAAAAATTCAAAATGTTGAAGTAATCAACGTTTTTTCTAGAAAATACTAAAATGCAAATTTCTTTGTTTTGATCCGATGTGATCCACTTTAACGACATTTAGGATTTTTCTTTAATGAACATAAACTTGATGTTTACCTCTTTGATGTGTAAAAAATTGGCTTCATAGGTTGAGGAAGAAGCGGAGAAAAGCGAAAAACTTATCGGAACAGGACTTTTGGGACATCCACTATAACTATGAAGATAACATTTCTACAAGTCTATCGCGACCGATGTCAATCAAATGATCTTTTTTCTCTCAGATTAATCAACGACATCAATCAGCCACTCAATCATCTATCGTTAACATGGCACTCAATTCAACGGTGCCTAATAGAAGCTTTTCGAAAGTTTGCGGATAGTTTCCGAACAATTGTGATAGAAATACAACCTTGGGAATAACAATGCACAAATAACCGACTTTGAAACTTTATCCATTGTAAATTTATTTGATGGCCATGGAACTTGCTGGGTCGTCCGCGACTAAATTTTCAGTTAATTAGCTTAAATGACATCATCAATAACCAAGTCTTTTCGTTTATTTTCCACTAATAAAAGAATAAACAAAGTACCTGAAATGAGACTGAGCCGAGAATGGCTGAGAATCATAGACACACACCCGAAAAACACACGACTGATCTGTTCTCCATCCTAACTAAACCTTTTCCTAGTCAAATCACTCTTCTTCCAATTACGAGCAACGTTAACAAACATTCACCTGGATACTTCAGTAGCTGATTCGTATTTATGATCGAAATTTGTTCCGCTCATTTGAACAGAATTAGTTACTTAGGTAGTCAAAACCATCTGATGATTCCTTTAGCAGGAATGAAATCGCGATAATGGTTGCTAGACTCAACACCCCACCCACCATTGTATATATTACATCATGTTTTTCTGTTACGTTTGTTCTTTCTTTCTTCCTTTCTCGCCTATATATACGCAGGACATATACTGTACGAGAGGGGTGCCTATGCTTTCTTAATAAAACATTTGTACATACAAGTGAAGATTAAAACAAGTTAGGTGGAACCTAACAAGTGGTGCACTAGCCGGCTTACTGTCAATCCAACATCACAGTAAGTACAAGCGGACGAAGAACAATTACAGTGGTGGTTCAATGGCTGATTTTAATAGCACAGCTTCAGATCCAGAGTTATATGTCGATCCATTTGATAGTCGTTATAATTCAAGTACGGACGAAGATGACAAAGAAGATTTATTATCGACTCAATCAACATCAGACGATCGAAATTCGGATGATGAAGATCAGATCCCAATACCAATGCCTCGACAAGGTAAACAAACCACACCATGGTATTCACATTCAATCAATGTATCCGTTATTAGTTTGACCAGCATTGATCAAATGACTCTTAAGACGTTTGATAAACAGAAATGTTGTGTTTACTCCAATCGTTATAAACAGGAATTCTGGGTTGATAATTGCGACGTTTATCAGTATGGTGGAAGAAATGAGTACAAACGACCACCACCATCACAAGTCTTTCAAAAAGGCGTAAAAGTTTTTGCACTTTTTCGTGATGGAAAAATATATTTATCAACCGTTGTTAATAGCAGTCGTTATACCTATTTTGTTATTCGACAAGAGGATCTACAATTTGACGAAGTTGATATTGATGACATTACCCTATTTCAACAACAAGAAGTGAATAGCGAGGAGCGACAACAGATAATAAAAACTCAACATATTGAGAAAGGTCAAACAACCGCAAACAAACATTCATTTCATCAACAGCATCGTCAAGCAACTTATGATGAATATCCCTTAGATTTAACCATTACTGGTGATTTATTATCAATCTCGGTCGAATTCGGAGATTTATCATGGCCACAACAAGGTAAACCATGGTGGGACGCCAAACCACCTCGCCAACCAGTTATTTCAACAAATGTAAATCAAACAATTATATCAGATCGGTCGATTACACAATCCACCTTAGAACAACAGTCACAGCCAGCTATTGAACA